GCTCCTCCGAAGCAGGGAGGAGCTGACAGTGCTCACCAGACTTGGCTCTTGCTCCATCTCAGACAGAGGTACCCAATAAGTCTCCTGTACTTTGCTATCAGAACATTCCCACCTATCTTATTTCTAGCAAACCCCATTCCCAAGGCTTAGGAAAACCTCAATCCTAATTGCCATCCTTCCTGTGAGCGCTGTTCCTGTCTCTACCTCTGGTGGGATCAGGCCTGCACCCTTGCAAGAGACAGTGCAGTGCTTCTGTCCCTCTGGAAAATAAATGCTGGCAAAAGCAGAACTCTGTCGTGCGTGGCCGAGCCAGCTGACCTTCCAGGGTGTGCAGTGCCTGAGATCAGCTGTATCACACACACTGCTGAGCAAACACTCCACCTAGAAGTGAAGCAATAGGATCCACGAGGGAAGGCAGATCAGGAATGCTCTCCATCAGAGACTAAAGGGAACAAAGCGCCTACAAATGCTCACAACATAAAAGGAAACCTCTGAGGCCAGAAACTTGATACATGTTGAAATAGAATATACTGACACATAATTCTCCTCTCCTGGGATGGGCACTGGGCAGGCTTTTCCCTCTTGAAGAAGAAATTTGAGGGCATCTCTCAACTGAGAAACAGCAACACAGACAAAGTAATAATTAACAACAAAGGCATTACCATTGTTAAGAGTGGGAACTGTCAGTTTAGTTCAGCTGATGCTCTGTCCTTCTAAAGTTACCTCTTTAGGCTGCCTGGAAGCAGGAAAGGCCGAGGCTGCTCCCAAACCCGCTACACACCGACATTGCAAAGCACACCCCATGAAACTATCCCCACAATTCAATTCCCACTCTGCTGGGAATGCTCCAGTTCTGAGACAAACCCAGGTATGTCAGGGCAACCAGAGGCTACACATCAAACCTCGGCACGTGTGTCAGAATCTCTCAGCAGCCCAGGACTGATTAAACTAGAGAGAAAGGAAGGAAAGTTGGAAGGAAATAGGTGAGAGGGAATGTGTGCAACGCAAAGAGGACTCCAAGAGCTCAGGCTTTGAGACAAGGATGCCCCACTACCAGCACAGGCTTCCTGGCAGGAACAGAGGCTCATTTCAAACACGATTCAGCCATTGAACATGTTTCAGTTTCATTTCAGCTCACATTCCCAGCTGAATGCTGTGCCGGCACATCCAGCAGCACAGTGCACTGCTGCTGCTGGAGCCTCCCAGTCAATCCTCCCTCTGAGGCTCTGGCTGCAAAGCCAAAGCACCTGGCACCAAGGCAGTTTCCTTCTGGGCAGAAATTGATCATCTCAAGGGAAAGCATCCCTCTTTCCTTGGATTCAGCTCTGGGCCGCAAGGCGTGGATGCAGTTGTACTCATTGCTTTGAACAGGAGAGGGACCAAATCACCCTGGAAAGTAGGCCTGAACAGGCATTTGCTATTTATAAGCTAATCATCTGATCCCTCTGGAGGGAAATCCTATCCTTTGGGGCTGTTGGGAGTGCATGGAACTTCAGGGAGGAACAGAAGGGAAGCGATTACATCGGCCAGCAGCATGCTCCAAGTGATCAGACAAAACTCCTCCCTACTCCATCACAGCCCCAGCATCTTCCTGAAGAACAGGAAAGCAATTATGAACAGGGATTAACCTGTTATGCTAATTTGCTAAGAGCAAAGTAATTTTTTAAATAGCTCTCGTCTCCATTCATCATTATCTAAAAAGGGCCCTGATCTAGTTCTGCAAAGAGCAACAAGTCTCACAGTAAGAGCCCACCTGAAATCCAAAAACACATGGGAAACTGCCTGGCTGGAGCAGCCTCAGAAGGGAGAAGGCTTGAGCTTTCATAACTCCTTGATAATTATTAATTCCTTGGGGAAGCATGCCTGTCCTGGGAAGTTGAGTGTGATGTGCAAGTATGCAACACTGATTTTTCTCCTTCTGTTCACATTTCTTTCTGATAAAAATAACCTGGGTTAGATGACACTGCTGGATTTCCCTGTGAAACAATGCTCAGTCGTTTCCAACACCACTGCACATACTCAGTGCAACCACGCACACCCCAAAACAATCTCAGTTCTCTCTACCCTTTCCTCACCTACTAAAGTATTACTGAGAACAACCCTCTCCCTCCACTGACAGCAGCCTCTGAAACAAACTGGAGAGAGCAAAGAAGAAAGGAAATCGCTCTCAAACAGCTCAGACTAAAACCACATCTCTTGAAGGAGAAGGCCCAATTCCCAGAGCAATCCCCACAAACGGTGGACTAGAGTCATCCAGGCCTGGCACCTGCCTCCAGGTGAGCAAAGCTCACCAAGACACAGGCACCAGGCCAAGGAAAGGCTGCTCACATCATCCCTGTGCTCCCCCAGCACTGGCACAAGAGACACTCTGAGAAGCCTCACTAAACAAAAAAAGGCCAGTGCGTATTTGGCAGATTGAGATCACAATAAAAGATGGCACAGCAGCATTCTCCAAAGTCTCTGTAGTAAGATCTGCCCCTAAAGCTTCTCTTGATCTGGATTTTAGATTTGTTTTTTTTTTTTTTCCTTTTAGCTTGTTTCAACCAAATCTGATATGTAAGTTACACTGTTGTTGAGACAGATGGGCTGGAAGGACCCCGCCACAAAACCCACAGCAGTGACACCTCTGCTGAGGAAATGCCCCAGTCAAGGCTCTCTCAGAAAAACTAAATAACTGTCACAGTCAGATAAACAGATTTCTGAGAATGCAGCAAAGAAAAGGGGAACCCAGATGTTCCTAGAAATTTATAAGTGAAACTTTTATTTCCCAGTTTACTTACATGTCCATCTTCCAGCAAACTCCCTGAAAGACACCACGGCCAGCTCACAGACCCCCAAGCAGAGCACACCCTGAACTCCTGGGGCTGTGAGCCCAGCTGCTTTTATTAAAAAAAAAAAGAAAAATATGAAGCTTCCATGTAAAAGTTGGCAGCCAATACAAAGTCATCACTGACTTAGGGAATTTTTTTCCTATGCATGAATCTCTATCACCTAAAGATATACATTTTGGATTTCAAGTACACATACCCTGACCAGCCTCTGAATTCCCAGTGTCCAGCCTCTGTTCCCCACAAGCAGATGCAGACTGACCAGATCTTCTTTCAAATTCTTGCTGGAGGAAGCAGATGGAGTTCTCTCTGCACCACGTCAGCTTTTTTCATCTTTAATACCACCTCATACATCTCCAAACTCTACTCAGCTTTCCACCAGCTTTGAACCACACATAAGCACCAAACCTGGTCACAGCAGCTTTTGCAACAATGTGAGAGCTGAGTTAACACTCCCTCTCCTCTTCCTCAGTGCGGTACCAAAGACCACCTCCAGCCCAGCTCCCTGTGTTCAATATATGCATGAACCCAGACAAAAATTCCTGCTTCCCAGGACAGATCCCACTTCTCCCTCCCTTGTTTCTCTGTTCTTATTTTGCACTCTTCCTGAAGTTTGCTTTCTCTGGTAAAACATGTGTGGTCTCCCCAAAGTCCAATGCCAGACTAGCCGGGCCACAGAGTGGGATTCTCATTTCCCATTTTCTACTTAGCACTCTGAGTTGCTCATACAGCTCCTCAGCTTTTAGCTGTCAGCTTCCTTCAAGTCATTGCCAAAATCACCATCAGGATCCTTACGAGAGAGTTAATATAACGTCCCCAATGACATTCTAGGAACCTCCAATTTAACACGGATTATTTTGAGCTCATCCCACCTCAGTTAATTCAGCAGGAAACCCCAAAGGCATCACATCAGCTGCTTTAGAGAAGCCAATGTTTACAACACAGTTAGCTGAGCGGGTTCTAAATAAATGTCAAACCTGCATCACCATCTCCACACCAAAAACTTCAGCCACTCGCAGTTCCAAACCAGCACAGAAACAACTCCTACCGAACACGGAGGGGAGGCACCTGCTCCAAACACAGCCGTGTGTGGCCTCCAGGGGGGCACTGGGCAAACCCTACCGCATGCAAAAAAGAACCAGCTCCGCGCCGCTACTCCGGATGCCTGTGGAACAAGAATCTCCCACCCACCAGGCACTTCCAGGGCACTGGGATCTGTACGGCCCCAGTGAGGGTGGACAGGAGAGGGAGGCGAGCCGTGCCTGCAGCCTCGGCCCGGGGAAGGGCTCAGGGCCCGCGGCAGGGCCGGAGCGAGCAGGGCCGGCCCCAGCGGGAGCCTCGCGTCCCATTCTTCGGTCTGACTGCGACCCCATCTCCACCCGCCGGAGACACCGCGGAACCGCCGGTGCAGCCCGGCCCGGGCCCGGCCCGCAGAGCCGCCGCCGCCGCCTCAGCGCTGCTGCCACCGGGCGGTGCCGCCCCTCACGGACAGGCCCCGGGGAGGCCGCGCTCAGCGGGCGGCGGGGAGAAGGAGCGCGGCTGCGGCGGGCGGCGGCCCGAGGAGCGGCGCTAGGTGTCGGAGCGGCGGGAGGGGAGCGGGGATGGAGGGTCCCGGGCAGCCCCGGCCTCACCTGTCCCGGCGGATCCCGCCCGGCTCCGGCGCGCCGCTCCCGCCTATGCCGCGTGCAGCTCCCGCCCGGCCCCTCCCGCCGGCCCACGCGTCACGGCCAATCAGCGTCCGGCACCGCCGGCGTCACCGACCAATCATCGGAGAGAACGCGTCCCCGCCCAGCGCCACCAGCCACCAGGCCACGCCCACCCGCCCTCCCGCCAGGCCACGCCCACCCGCCCTCCCGCCAGGCCTATCCCGTGACACGGGAGTGGGCGGTGCCCGACGCCCGACGCCCAATGAGAAATCACAGCGCGTCCCCTCGCAGCCAATCGGCGGCCGTACAGCGCTGCCCCTCAGAAAAGGCGGGCGGGCGTGGGTGGGGTGCCCTGCCACGTGACCGCCCGGTGACAGGGACCCCCTCAGCGCGGCTGGGGCCGCGGGCGGCCCGAGGGGTCCCGGGGCCTGATGGATCTCGGTCCGAGAGAAACAACCCCTGGGCATCCGTGGGGCGGGGCCGCCTCCGGTGCCTCGGCCAGGGCTGCGTGGCGCGGCGCCGCTGCCTCCGGGCCGGGCCCCGCGGTCTACGGAAGCCACCTGAATGATCAAGAGATCGTGAGGCCTCCCCGTTCTATCGCCCCGCTCAGCCTCGGGCAGCTGCTGCTTCTCTCTGCCTGGGTGTGCCTCCCCCGGGGCTGGATGGCCTCTGCCCCTCGCCTCGTCCCTGCGTTACTTGTACCCTTCACATTTTCAGCCTGCCCTGCGGAACAGTCCCGCTGGTGGAGTTAGGAGGCAATCTCAGGCTTTCTCACAGCCAAGGTTTTACATTCCAGGATCCTGCGGGCTGCATCGCAGAACAGCTGAAACTGGAAGGAACCTGTGGAGATCACGCAGTCCAACCCCTCTGCCAAGGCAGGATCACCCAGAGCAGGTGACAGGAACGTGCCCGGGTGGATTTGGAATGTCTCTAGAGAGGGAGACTCCACGCCCTCCCTGGGCAGCTGTTCAGTGCTCCCAGCTGCCAGCATGAGGTGCTGCTGCCCGAGGTGGTGTCTCTCTGCAGCCCCCGGAAAGAATGAGCTGAGCCCAGCCCCAGACAGGTCTGGAGGGTTTGAGGGTGCGGCCCAAGAGATGTTTGTCCTCGACAGAGGAAGGACAACCATCCCTACCTGGTGCCAGCTGTGAGTGGAGCTGTCCCGGGCCTGGCTCTGAGAAGCGCAGGAGGGAGCTTCATCCTTGTCCCGAGGATGCTGAATCTTTGCAAATGCATTGCTTTGGGCAATTTCCCTGGGAAAAACGTGTGGGAAAAGGGGAAGGTGGGTGATGGCAGGAGAAGCCTCTGGGCTGGAGAATGAGGGAGGGAGCAGCACCCTGAGTTGGCAATAGGACAGGGGGAGCAGGTAGAGAGGTGATGGGGAAGAGACAGCACCTGCAGGGAATGGTGGGGCAGCTGGAGCTATGGCATGGGGTACATGGTGCCATCCTGAAGAGAAGCTGCTCCAGAATGTGCAGAAAGAGTTTGTGAAGCATGTGAGCAACCCATTGATCTCTGGGGTGCTGGACAACCTGCTGACCCAAGGGGTTCTGAGCCCTGGTGAAGTGGAAGAGGTGCAGAATCAATGTAGGATGCACGTGGGTAAGGCTTGCCTCTTCAAACATTGTGCTCCAGAAAAGGCACCAAAGTCAGCCAGATCTTCACTGACAGATCTTCACTCCACCACCTCAGGATGGTGGAGCAGTTGGATCTGAGTTGACTCAGGTGAGAGATGAAGGCCCATGGTCTGCTCCTGGCCAGAGCCTCCAGTGGGATGCTAGGGTCCAGCCCTAGGGAGTGTCCAAGGCTCAAAGGCAAGGGGCATTTGGGTATCACCACCCTGAGACCCCCTTGGCAGCCTGTGATGACAGAGCACAGGGGGGTGGCTGTCCCCTGTGGGCCTGAAGAGGGATGGATCCCAAGGGAATCTCTGGAGGCATCAGCACCCTGACACTTGATGGGCATAAGAGCCCCATGAGTTGGCACCATGTCTTGCTCATGTCTTGTACACCTGCCTGGATGTTCCCCTGGGATAGCTCCTGATTCCCTGTACCCTTTCCATGCAGGAAACAGAGCTGCTTTCATTTCTCCCTGCTGTCTCTCACCCCAGGTCCTACAATGCTCCCCTATGCTCCCTCAGCAGATACCATGACAAGAACGGACTACAATGTTCTGGAAGCTCTGCTTCATCTCAGGCCACTGATCTCCTGCCATGGTGAGACTCTTCACCTCACACTATATAGCTGCCTTTTGTCTGTGCCCCAAGCCTGGTACCTGGCCAGCAGGAAGGAGCAGGGAGAAATCCCCTGCCAATCCTGTGTTCCAGAGCTCATGGTTTGGTCCAAAGGTGTTGTGTGCTGATAGCTGGGGACAGGCCCCACCCCCAGCTGGCTGGTGGCGCCCAAGGAACTCATTTCAGTAGCTTGTGACTCTGGAGCTTATTGGTCTGATGTTCTTCACAGGAAAAAAAATAATACACAGAGAACAAAAGTGTTTGAATTTGAGGGTGATACAGCAGAAAACTCAAGGCAAATGCAGCCCAGCTCCTGAGGAAGGGAAAGGGGAAAGGGGAAAGGACAAGAACAGCTCTGCAGAAACAGCAAATCTCCAAAGCAGTCCCTGTTTCCCACTCTGCTAGGCAACTACAGCCAGACCTGGAATAAAACATCCTCAGTCTTCTGCCCTCCCTTCCTTTTAGGGCCTGCAAACAACCCCAAATTAAGAAAACTCATCCCAGGGAGCAGAAGACACCTGACTCTGGAGCAGCAAAAGCAGAGATGGTTAGTGTAGAGAGTTAATCTCTCTATTGTCCACACACACAGTGTGTTCCCAGTTTATGTCACCCCCATAATCACTTCTGCACTGTCCCTGGCTTTAACAGTTGTCCAATAAAGAGATTTTTGCAGCAGACACCCTGCTCCTCTGTCTCCAGCTTATTGTGGGTGTGCTTCAGGAGGATGCAGAGCAGGTGGGAGGGGAGAAATTGTTGGGAGCTCAGGGACGAAGCAACACTTGCCTTTGGGGCAGCCTGGGCAGATGTGCTCCTTGCTCAGGAGGCAGATTCCCCCACTCCCCAATCCTTACACTGCCCCAGGCATAGCAAGGATGCAATTTCCCCTGGGAGCCAAGAAAGGTCCTCAAACCTGTGTCTCCTGTGCACTGCTCCCACATTAGGGCCCAGTCCAGTGGTCACTTCCCACCAGCATCCCTGCTGCCAACTGAGAACCTCTTCCTGTGCCCCCCACACGTGCCCTGCCCTCCATGGCCACATCCAACCTGTGTTCTGCCTTGGCATGAAATCAGCTTTATTGCACATTCTGCAAAGTCACAGCCAGATCCTTGGGAGGGTCTGGCAGCAGGAAAAAAAGAGGGCTCTCTGCCCTCTCCATGTGCCTGACACCACCATGCAGGCAGGACAGTGTCCTGAGCCAGTGCCACCCCGTGTCCCTGCGAGGTGGCAGGAGATCTCAGCAGGATGCAGGTGCCTCTCTGCTCTGACTGCAGGAGAACCAGGATGGGAAAAGGTCTTGCAGGCAGGATCAGACTGCAGTGAGGGCAGCCAGTCCCAGCTGAGCCCATCCTCAGAGCCCGAGCCCTGCGTCACTGCCCAGAGCTCCTCAGGACCCACATGGGCTTTAGAGAAACCCTGGTCCCCAGTGCTACAGCTGTGGCAGGAAATTGAGGACAGCAGTGATGAATTCTTCAAATTTATCCTGATGGACTATGTGGCCTGCACCTTTAATGTACTGGATCTCTGCCTTGGGGAAGAGGCGTTGGATCTCTGGGTAGTCTCTGGAGCTGCAGGACAAGGGAACATGCCATGATCAGAGGTCCCTCCTGGTGTCTTCACTCCCCATCCCCAAGCAGAGGGTGATCCCAGGTATGACTCCTTCCCTGCTGGGAAAGCCCAGGTGGAGGAACCCCAGGCTGCCCCTTGCTCCAGGGTGTCGGTGTCAGCCCTTGCTCAGGACTTGCTCCATCCCGGGAGCTCGTCCCACCCTCGGCAGCTGCAAAGAGCACAAAAGGTCAAACAACAGACCTGGAACCGCTTCTCTCCAGTCTCACCTGATATAGGGCGAGTCAGACCCTCCCAAGAACAGTGCAGGACCAGGATACGGCTTGTGGAAGATGGGGAAGTTCATGATATCTGCCAGATGCCGGGAAATAGCCTCCAGGTTCACCCGCCACACATAGCGGCCCTCCACCTCCACCAGGTTGGTGAGGAGGAACTGTCTCAGCTGTGGGAGCTGCCATGGAAGGGGACCACACGGTCTTCAGTAAGAGCAACAAAACAGGATGTCCTGGCACCCTCCATCCTCCCCCATCTCCCACGGGATTTCCTACCTTGACCACAGGCTGCAGCTGGTCATCTGCCAGCTGGCGTGCTGCCGAGCGGCTCAGCCCCACCGGGACCTTCACCTCCTTCATGGCCGAGATGTAGGCAGAGAATTCAGACACGGGGGCCGTTGAGCCAGGACCAATGTCTACAGAGATGAGGCGCTCCACCAGGTCCGGCTGGAGACACAAGCAGGGCAGATCAGATGCCAGGATCTCCCAAGATCTCCCCAGTTGGAGTGGGCACAGGGCTCCACTCCCAGTCATTCTCTGAAGGCTCTTGGCTCCCTCCTGTCTCAGCAGAGACCTCCATGTGCCCTTCCCAGAGTCTTTGTGCTCAGCACAGATCTCCAAGCTCCCTCACAATCCGTGCTGGAGTCACAGGGCAGAGCATGGGCTGGTGGACGTAGATTTACTCCTGCTTCCATAGCCTGGCTCACAGCTCCGTGTGGGACAGCACCCACTCTGGTACAGACTAGTCCCTGTGGAGCTGGGCACAAGGCTGGCACTGGTGAACAGTCTCAGAAGGGACCATCCCCTTCCTACAGCCCCCCCTGGAACCTCCTGAGCCTGTGACCGCACTCCCACCCTTGTGGCTGCTGACCTGCTGCAAGGCCAGTGTCATGGCCGTCTTGCCCCCCATGCTGTGCCCCACGAGGATGCACTTGGTGATGCCCAGGCGGCTCAGGAGGTGCTGCACATCCAGGCTCATCGCTTCATACGTCATCACGGGGCTGTGGGGGCTGCTGCCGTGGTTCCGGGCGTCCACCGTCAGCACCTGCCTGGGCAGGGGCAGCGCATCACCACAGGAACTGCCCACCAGGACCCCGGCCCCCTCCGTGTGCTGCGCCTCCCCCCACGCCCCTGCCTCACCTTGCCGCTACCACGGCGCACCAGTGTCTTGGCCACCGTCTGGAAGTTGCTGTGGCTGCCAAAGAGCCCATGTAGCAGGACAAGGGGTGGCCGATCCCTGCGGCCCTCCACCTCCACATGGGCCAGGGGCACTGCACTGCAGGGACACGGGCATGAGGTATGGCCAGAGTGCAGGGGAAAGTGAGCCCTGCCCCTCTGCCCAGCCCTGGTGAGACACATTTACAGTGTTGTGTCCAGTCTTGGGGTCCTCAGGAAAAGGGAGACACAGAGCTCCTCAAGTGGGGCCAGTACATGTGAGGATGAGGAGGGCCTGGAGCATCTCCCTGTGGAGGAAAGGCTGAGGGAGCTGGGGCTGTTCAGCCTGGAGAGGAGCCCCAGCTGAGAGGGGCCTCAGCCCTGGCTGTCCCTGTGTGCAGGGAGGGCTCCCAGCAGAGCCCGGGCTCTGCTCAGGGGCCCAGCAGTGGCACCAGAGCCACGGGCAGGGACCGAGCCCAGCAATTCCCCCTGCACAGGAGGCACAACTCGTGCCCTGGGCACTGCCCAGCCCTGCCCAGGCTGCCCAGGGAGGGGCTGGAGTCTCCCTGAGCGGGGATATTCCCGAGCCCTCTGGACACGATGCGGTGCCCTGTGCTCTGGGCTGGAGCAGGGAGGTGGCACCAGTGACGCTCTGTGTCCCCGCCAGCCTGGCCCAGCCCGGGGTCCCGGCAGAGCGCGGCCGGGGCCGGGCCCGGGCAGGCGGAGGAGGGGGCGTGGCCACAGCCGCTCACCGCCGTGCAGGGGGCGTGGCTCGTGGGGAGCGTGGCCGGTCCCTTGGTGCCGGCCACGCCCCTGTTGACGGGATTCTCCCGCGGGACCCCTCCCGGGACCGTCGCCCTCGCCCCGCCCCGCGCGCGGCCGGGCCCTTACGTGGCCACGGAGCGGGCGGCGGCGGCGGCGGGCTGAGGGAGGGAGCGCGGGAGGGGCGGTGGGGCCGGGGCGCGGGGCAGCCGGCGGAGCATCATGGCGGCGACGGGAGCGGCGCGTGGGCCGTGACGCAACGCGCGCGGCGGCCCCGCCCCTGCCCCGCCCCTCCGGCGGCTGCGGGCGCCCCCTCGCGGCCGGACGGCGGCAGCGCGTGTGGGGAGGTGGTGGCGGCACCGCTCCCTGCGCTGACCCCGCGGGCACCGGGACCGGCCCTTGGGGCCCGGGGGCAGCGAGCCGGCCGGGGCGGCTCCCTGCGGCCGCCGGGGATTCCGCAGCGCCCTGCCGCCCTCCGCCGCCCGCAGGCACAGCGGGACCGGCCGGCACAGCCCCGCGCTCGCCGCCCCGGCCGCGCTTCCCCCAAGACTGGCCCCGCGCTCCTGCGACGGCTCTTGCCCCTTTGTCCCTGCCCGCTGGAGCGTGGCGGCGGGCGGGAGGGAGCGGCCGAGCAGGGCGGCCTCGCCCCAGCGCGGCTCCCGGGCGGGGGAAGCGCCTCGCGGCCCCCCCGGCGGCCCCAGACTTTGGACTGCGGGCAGGGAGTGTCCCTGCGGCATCCAGCGGCTCCGCTGCTCCTCGCCTCTACCGCTCCCGGAGAGCTGTCCCTGGAATGCAGGGGACAACGGGTCCCCAGCACGAGCAGGGACGCCCGGCGCTGGAGGGAGAGGGGCTGCGGCTGAGCCCTGTGTCCCCAGCCCGGTGCCGCTCGGGTGCTGCCGTAGCAGGGCGTGTAAAGTGCCTCGAGGGGCTGGAGCGCCCTGTTCCCCCTCCCTGTGCCCACCTCCACCGTGCCGCACATCCCAAGGACACTCGGGTACCAAAACAGGACACGTTTATTGACAAATGTAACCGGTACAGACCACGCGTAACAGGGACAGACGGTGCCGGGCCAGCAGCGATGGGGGGACACAGCAGGGAGGCACCGTCCCCATCCCGTCCCGATCCTGCCCCACCGGCGTGGCAGGACCTCGCCGGGCGCCGCTTCTCCCGCCGACCCGAAACTGCCTCGTGTTTAACCGAAACTGTCTCTATTTACACAGCCCGGCCCTGACCCCGCGGCCGTCCCCGTCCCCTCCTTCGCGCCCCCCCCGCCCCGGCGCGGCCGCCCCCGGGCCCCGCGGAGGGCACTGAAGGTCCCAGGGTGGGTGGGTGGGGTGGAGGATATCGAGGGGTGCCGGGGGACCCTGGGGGGGCTCAGACATAGTTCCTCTTGTCGTAGCTGGTGACGGCAGACCGTGGGGCGGAGTAGGCCACCTTCCCCGTGGGGTACCTGTCGTCTTTGGGGGGGCAGGAGCAGCAGAGCAGGCCCCCCCCCAGCAGCAGGAGTGCCGAGGCCGCCCAGCCCACGTAGAGCGAGGTGCCCAGCTCTCGCTTCTGCGCTTCGATCACCAGCGGGTTGTAGAAATCCCGGATGATGGTGTTGGCCGACCAGCAGACAGGGATGAGGGTCATTACACCAGAGAGGAGGAAGATGACGCCGGAGACGATGGTGATCTTGGCTTTGGTGCTCTCGTCCTCCACGCAGCGGGTGCACTGGGCACCCACGATGGCCACCATTAAGCCCAGGACGGCCAAGATGATGGCCACCACCAGCAGGGCGCGGGCGGCTTGCAGGTCCTGCGGCAGCGCCAACATGGAGTCGTAGACCTTGCACTGCATCTGCCCCGTGCTCTGCACCACGCAGCTCATCCACAGCCCTTCCCACAGGATCTGGGCCGTCACGATGTTGTTGCCGATGAAGGCCGACACCTTCCACATGGGCAACGCACAGCAGATGATGCTGCACAACCAACCCAGCACAGACAAGGCCACGCCGCCAATCTCCAGCCCCATCGACATGGTGGATGGTTCAGTGACGCGCTCCAGGCGATGGCAAAGAAGAAGCCACGGGACCGAGACCGTCGCCACCAGCACCGCTCGCAGCCGGGGGATCGGCTTACACCTGTGCGCAGTGCTATTTATACGGGCTGGCCCCGGGGTGGGGTTTCAGTGCTGGCTGCTGGACGCTCCTCTCTGCTCCTCCGTCACCATCACCTGCGTCCCACACCCTCCCCTTTGTTTGCGGAGATGGCGCCGGGTAACCAGAGAAGGGCGGGAGGAGGAGAAACGCCACCTGCCACAGCCATCCTCTGGTTTCGGCCGATGGATATCAGGAAGCGCTACCACCGTGCTCGTTCCCACCAAACCTCTTCTGTGGACCTGGAAATCCCAAGGGTTCACCTTTCCCCCGTGGAGGTGCTGGCGGGTCAGGGTGTGTTGATTTCTGTAGTGTCAGTGCTCACATTTAACTGCGCTTTGGTGACTGTTGGGCACCTTTGCACGAGCGAATAAAGTGCAGCCCCTTCGCCATGCCGTGAGGTTTGTGTCACCATTCCAGGGGACCTGCGGGTGCTCCCGACCCAGCAGGAACCCCTCCAGCCTGGCCCCTCCTGTTCCCACCCTGCTGGGCTGGGAGCACTGTCAGAGATTCTCTGACGGACTGATAAATATCTTTACTCATCCTGCACAAGTCCTGTGACCTTGAAGGAAGCAGATAATGCACGTAACCACCCGGCAGCATCACCCTGACAACCTGAGCTGGCACCCGGCAAAGGGAAAAACATCCCAAGGCATGAGCAATCCCTTCAGACCTAGCAGCATCAGCCCCGTGGCTGTGGGGTGCGTGTTTCCCCCCCAGCCTCGCATGCCGGGGGTAGTGCCAGTGTTTCCAGTCCCCCTCCCCCAGGAATGTGGTTGCTGGACACAGGCTTGCTCCTACCTGTTCCCTGCCTGCTCCAAAAATCTCCTCTACAACTTATTAACTACTCAAGAGCGCGGTGGGATGCTGGCAGCTGGCGCCGTGCAGCCAGGATGGGGGGGAGCCCTGCAACTGCCTGGCTGAACTCCACAAACCCTGACACCCCACAGCCACAGGGGTCAGAGCTGGGCGCCCCCACAGTGTCCCAACAGCCACACGGGGCTGTATTTGTGTGCCCCACAGTGCCCTGATACCCAGTACTCTGATACCCAGTTCAGCACTCTGAACCCCCATAGCCAGCAGGGTCACCCCACAGCATCCTGATACCCCATATGTGGCTGGGTCAGCTGTTGTCACCCCATGTCACCCCAGCACCCCATATCCATCCAGCTTGACCCCCAGCCCCCTGCAGCACCCCATGTCAGACCTCCACCATGCCATGACACCCCGAAACCCCCATGTACAGCCTCTGCCAACCCATGGCATCCCCACAATACCCTGTACTCGGCTGGGTGAGCTTCTGCCACCCCACTGTACCGTGGCCACCCCTCCGAGGACACCCCAAATCCCCACGGCCAGCTGGGGGGTACCCAGGGGTGGCCCCTGTCCGTGCTGCTGGGGGGAGTCCGTGCAAGCAGCCCCCAGGGTTCTGCGCCCTTTGTGCTGGGGGTGCTGGGGGTCCCTCAGGGGCACCTGGGGGGCACCTCGGGGTGGGTGTCCCCGGCCCAGCGCTGCCGGTGGGCACAGGGCCAGCCCCGCTGGGCTGGCAGCGGCGAGCGCAGGAGGGGCCGGGCTGCCGAGGCTCCCACGTGTGCAGGGAGTGCCCGCGGCTCCGGGGAGTGCGCAGGCACAGGTGAGAGCACAGCTACAGCTACAGGTACAGGTACAGGTACAGGTACAGCTACAGCTACAGGTACAGGTACAGCTACAGCTACAGCTACAGCTACAGCTACAGCTACACACATAGCTACAGGTACAGGTACAGGTACACACATACAGGTACAGGTACAGGTACAGGTACAGCTACAGGTACAGGTACACATACAGGTACACATACAGGTACAGGTACACACATACAGGTACAGCTACAGGCACAGGTACACACATACACACACAGCTACAGCTACAGGTGCAGGTACAGGTACAGGCACACACATACAGACACAGCTACAGGTACACACACACAGGTACAGACACAGACAGACACACACAGGTACACAAACACAGGTACACAAACACACAGGTACAGGTACAAGTACACAAACACACAGACCACACACACATACACACAGAGAGGTACAGGTACACACAGACACAGAGGTACA